ATGTTATTGGAATCGTCTCGGTCGCCGGATGCAGCTATGCCGGACCCTTTAATCTTAAATTACATACCTCCAATCAGTGCCCCACTATTCGAATGTTCGTTCCAAACACGGAAATTAAAACCTGCCCAACTTTACCATTTCTAGTTCCCATTTTCGTCATATCTTGAGCATATCACAAAAAAATTTAACAAATTGTATATGCCCTGTTTTCGTTTCCATCCATCCAATCTAGCAATTTTTAAACAAATTTTTTTGTTCCCTGACGGAATTAAGAGAGTTCCTGCTCGCTCTAGCAGCCACTGCCCATACTTTTGTACTTCTTTTGAAAACACAGTAAAATGAGCCGGACGAACCGTAAGTTTTGCCAGATTTTTTCTTGCCTTGCTGGAATGGAAAAGTCAAAAAAAAGAACAAGAAACCTGTGTCATAACCGAAATAACTGGCTTATTGGAAGCTTTTGCAAGCCGTAGCTCCACCAAATACAGCAAATATTCATCGAACAGCAAACGAATAAGGTGAAAGGAGCCGAAGGACTGGGCAGAACGAAGTGTGAGATCACGTATTATCATTGAACTGAAATAATTTTGTGAAAAAATTTTTTCGATTTTTTATTTTTTGGCCGTTTATCTTTTCGGTTTTTTCGGGTCTTTTTTTAATTTAAGATTCATTAACTTAAAATTCTAGCGCAATATGAATCAGAAATTGTAAAAGACTTTCCACAAACCTGTAAAAAGACCAATTTTTCAGGAACTGCTTTGAGACATCCGCTAAAACGTTGTAAGGCTTATCGTGGTACTTCGCCAACACCTGAAAAATTATAACAAAATTCAACATTCGCAGTTCATTAGTCAAAAATCAAGATTCTCTTCTCATAACTCACTCAAAATGAGAGAAGAAGGGATGAGCACTTCGGATTTTATGTGGAAATCCCGAATTCTACGTGTTTCAACATGCAAATGATCGGTTTCCCGGAAGCAACAGAAATACTGTTTTAGCTTTACCTGATCAACGACAGCTTCCATCCATTCAGCCCACTGCTCCAAACTCTTCTGCTTCTGCAGATTTTCTCGAAAATCGGATTGAAGATTGGAAACCAGCACAGGATCACAATCGCATATCCAACTGGAAATGATAAATTTGCACAAAAAGAAAAAAAAACTTGGAAAAGTGCTAATAAAAATTTCTCGCTAGCAAGGGTGCCAACGGCCCTCTCATTCGAATGTTACTCACAAGCAAGCTGATGGCAGGTTTTCTCATATATATGCCAGAACTAGTTAACAACACCAGAACGAACCAAGGAGCCGTAGAAAGATTAACTGCCACAATTACTGTGCAGCCGGAGCAATACTTTTCTCCGAGCTATGTTTCCCCACCAATTTTACCAGTAATTTAAAAAAAAAGCAAAAAAGTAGTCCTTTCTGTCAACTTTCTAAAAACCTTGCCTTATCAGAAGAAAAAAAAATATACCCGGCTTGATCCTGAACATTAGCTATATCAACGCGATTAAAATCTTGAAACATTTGCTGAATTTGATCCGGTTTCTGGAGGACACCACGTGCAGCGGAAGCTAAATGATTTAGCGATGTATATCGCCTCAATGTTTGTGCCAATGTGCGCACAGCAAACAGTTTCTTTTTTTGTATCACATCTGGCGCTCCTTGCATTGCTTTCTTCAGCTGTATTTCCAGGGATTTCGCAAAATTGCGAATTTGCAAGGTTAGCGCACCTGAAATTACACAACAGTGGAATACTGCTGATAACAAATATCACTGTTATCAA